TGTAGCCTGTGACTTTGAATTTGAAACAGGTCACTTCAGCTTACATTTTGGACAGAGAGGAGTTATAGTCATAATTATCATAGTTCTTAATGATCTTCTTAGAGTGACTGTGTGGGCTGGAACAAAGAATAGAGAGTAATTTTCCATGCATAACATTTTCAACATGCCATAGCTATGTATGGGAAACTTTTATGCGTTTGTAAAATGCATTGGCTTTCTCAGAATCAGAGAAATCACAGATTTAGAAGGATTCTTAAGGGTTATCTAGTGTAACCTTAATTCTCATCTACCCACCACCAGATACATTAAATCTGGCCGATAAATTCATAAATGATTTGATTCCAACAAGATTCTTTGATAATCAGAGCTAATACATCTTCCCAGAACTGTGCTTTTATAAATCAGGAAAAACAAGTTATCATCAACTGTTGTGAATATGAATTATAGATTGAGTCAAACTGAAAAACTGATTTTTAAAGCAAGTATTGATTAAGAATTTACCCTATGCTAAGAACTTTATAGGAATTGTGTTATTTGATCCTGTTAAAGTTGGTATTATTTAGACAGATAAGGAAATTTAGAGTTGTTAAGTTACTTAATTGAGCTAACACCAATATTAAAAACCAGCTCTGTCTGATTCCAAGACAGAAACAGAAATGCCATAAAAACATCTGGAATGATGGTCCAGTGTCTGCAATCATCATGCAATTCATAAATTAGCTGAATGAACTTTGAGAGTCGGACAAATCCAGTTTCAAATCACGTGTAGGATCTTGAGCAAAGATCTGAGGCTCTCTTTGCCTCTGTGTTCAAGGTCAGAGAAACCCATAGCAACTGAAGACTCCTAATCCCTCTCCCCTCTTCCTGCATATTCTGTGCATCTTGAGCCAGGTGCCTGCATCCTGGGTTCCCCATCAACCTTTCTACACCATCCACTGGGCCATCCCCTCTCACTTTCTGTTTCTGCAAAAGCAGTGCCAGCGCTCTCTGTTCTGCAGCCCTTGGCACCTTGAGTTGATTGTTGTCAGGCCCTGCCCTCATCCTCCTACTCCTGTCTTTGTCCCAGTCTTATGTATTATTTCACCCTCAGTCCCTGGTTTGTGTGTGGGAATCATAAAATATCTTTGAGTGTTTATTAAGATGATATGTAAAGTGCCTAGTAGTACAATATCTAACAAGCACTTGCCTCCCCAAGACAAACAAACAAAAAGAGGTAGTTCTTTAATATAGCACACTAATATAAGAAAGTAAGTACCACATTCATTTTTGGCCAGTGAAATTCAGGATTACCACATCTCAGATTTATTCAGTTAAGCCTGTGGCACATTATGGATATTGTGTGTAATATGAATGAGTAGACATGTTTATCATGCTTAAAAATAGGTACTATACATAACAAGAAAAGACATATAAGTCAATGGGTTTTTGAAAAACCTCCAGATCAGAAAGTATAGAGATAGATATTATGGGGCAGGAATTTCTAATTTATTCCAATATTCTAAACTAGAGGCCTGGTGCATGAAATTTGTGCACTTGGGATGGGGGGGTCATCCCCTCAGCCCAGCCTGCACGTTCTCCAATCTGGGACCCCTTGGGGGATGTCCAACTGCCGGTTTAGGCCCGATCGACAGGCATTATCTGCTAACATATTGCACAATTTAATTTTTTTGTGTATTTATTAATCATGTTTTCACAAAGGGATACATTTCAAGAGGGAATGACTTTTAGCCTCTTGATCCCTGATGGGTTTCCATCACTTAGAACAACCCCAGGCTCACAGTAAGGGCTCCATAATGTTTGTTGAATTAATTGATAACTCCAAAACTAGGAGTCTGGGTTAATAAATTATTCTACTTTATTGTACTTCTTTAAAGTGGTCATAGAATTTAGAAAGCAAATTTAAAAATCTCTAGAATATGCCATTATGTGAACAAAAAACTATTTAAATTCTAATATATACTTACAGGGGAATGAGGTAAAGCTATGTATCAGAAAAAAAGATTAAAAGGGAATGCAAAAAGAGAGTGGGTTTTATGCTTTTTGTTTTATGTTTAGAATATGTTTTATTTCATTTGAGAACTATAGCAAGGTATTGATAAAGGAATGTAAGTGAGAGAGAGTAAGAAAGAACTATAATCATGAATGTTCTGTCTCTAAGGCTTGGGATACTATGGGCCTATATGCTTTTTACCTGAATCCCTGGCATCCTTAAAGGAACATGGAACTTGTTAGCTAAGGATCATATCAGGGCTCAGTTTTCCTCTTATATTCAGAAACATGTGATCTGCAGAACTGGCTCAGGAATTGGCAAGTTAAGAAATTTAATATTAGCTAAATATTCAGTTTTGTTCACATCTCTCCCAGTCTGGTCATTACAGATCTCCTGAATTCTCTTTTATTCATCTGTTGGCCTTGTTGCTGTTTTGTTTTTAAGCTCTTCTCTTCTCCTGCAGGCCCTGCCCTCATCCTCCTACTCCTGTCTTTGTCCCAGTCTTATGTATTATTTCACCCTCAGTCCCTGGTTTGTGTGTGGGTGTTTCCCTGAACAAATAAACCTATGGTGCTAAGAAAGTTCAAGGCCAGAGAAACCCATAGCAACTGAAGACTCCTAATCCCTCTCCCCTCTTCCTGCATATTCTGTGCATCTTGAGCCAGGTGCCTGCATCCTGGGTTCCCCATCAACCTTTCTACACCATCCACTGGGCCATCCCCTCTCACTTTCTGTTTCTGCAAAAGCAGTGCCAGTGCTCTCTGTTCTGTAGCCCTCTGCACCTTGAGTTGATTGTTGTCACAAAGAGATCCTGCCTATCCCTTCTTGGTCACAAAAGCAATCACAGATCTTTATTCCTCACATTGCATCAAGTTTATTGCTCCTCATACTCCCACTGATGCTAGAAGACAAAATTTCCATCTAATCCTAGCAGCAGCTTAATCCCCAGAGTCATATAATTTCAGAAACAAAAGGAATCTGAAAGCCACTTAGTGAAATCCCCATTACCAACCCACAGTAATGGGTTGATAAGTGCATGGTAGGAGTTTGAGAAATATGTGCCATCAGTAAATACTATAAAATCATTCACTATAGACCACTATAATATAACTAGTGGCCCAGTGCAGGAATTTTTGCACATTGAAAGGAGATTAGTTAGAAGAAATATTTTAATATCACTATTCACCCTTTATAATAGAAGTGTCAACCAAATTCACAATCGACGATGACAGATCAAAACACACTCGTGCAATTGGTGCCAGCGACAGCTTTATATAGAGAGATAAACTTGCTTAATTAGACCTGCTTTCTGATTTAGGTAAACTTTTTCCATCCTAGTGAAGCACCCCAACTTCTCTTTTAGGTAATTGTCAGCAACACAGCAGTAAATATCAACACAAAGCAGATTATTATTGTAGATCGCACAGGGAGAACAAGGGGTAAAATAATATTTAACTGCAGTAGTGTTTGATTATATTCTGCACAGTGAGAAAACCTGAAGTCATTTTCAAGGTCCACCATTTCTTACTTTTCAGTCGGGTCAAGTTTCTAAGCTTTCTAAATCTCCATTTTCTGGCTAATGAAAAGAAAATAGGATTCCACCGAGTCTCCTATCTACCTACTCCAGGACTACTGTGAGGATCAAATGAGATGAGGCACAGGAAAATGCTTCACAGACATTTGGTTAAAGTGTAAAATGTTTCCACCTGGCTATAAAGCAAGTCGTGTTTCTGGGCTGAAGAAACTCCAAAGAGGCTAGTCACTAGAGAGAGGAAGCCGGGGGTTGCTACGTGATGTCATTACCCGGCGCCCACAGTGACTGTTTCCAGGCTGGGCTGGGCTGGGCTGTGGGCCGCATTTTGTGCCATGGGTCTTGGCAGCATTGGCTGCAATTTGGTGGGGTGTTGCTCCAGGGTGGTGGCAGGGCCTGTGTCCCACTTGGGGGAAGCTGAGTGTTGCTTTGTTGGCACCAGGTCCGTGCTCCCATTTCTCTGTAAATGGCCAGTGTGTGTCACAGCAGCTCCTGCATTAAGCGTCTTCCCTCTGGTGGTCAGTGTGCATCATAGCAACTGGTTGGACAGTCAGACACTTAGCATATTAGCCTTTCATATATATAGATTGTTTTGTGTTGTTAATATTTATGTGTTTTTTTAAATAAATAGTTTTTTATCATCTTTTGTTCACATAGCAGTATATGTGTAAAATCCATGGACAGTGATGAAGAAGGCTGGGCTTAGAAGGCAGTGAGGGAAACTGGCAAACAGATTTCAAGACAACAACAGTGTTGATATAAAGAGAAAAAGGAAACTTACAAAAACAAGAAGAAATGGGCTAAAATATTATGAAAAGATTATCCTATATAATAAGAGAGGAATATACTAATTAGCCTTTACACCCTGAGGCGTAATGACCAAGTATGTCACGACCAGATCACGGATCAGCGGGAAGGTGGGCCAGCGAGGTACAAGCAGGCTGCAGAGAGCAACAGGAGGGGGCAGGGCAACAAGCTATGCGGGGGTGGGGGGGTGGGGGGGAGCTATAGGAGGGTGGGGCAGCAGGCAGAGAGCTTCAGGAGGGCGGCAGCGACCTACTGGCACACAGATTCGTGCACAGGGCTACTAGTATATAAATAACATCTTTCTCTACTAAAAGCTTTTAAGTAATAGAAGGGTTTGCCAAAGACAGCTGAGAATTGATGGTACTTGAGGTTAACAACATGTCCTTGGTGTGATTCAGCAAATGATAAACTAGGTCTTCCTTGATGGAGCAAAATAGAATAACTATGTTCAATGGTTCCTCCTCCAAGAGTCTTGGAAAGGTGGGACTTTCATTTCATTGGAAAGCGTGAAATGATTATAATGAGCAAGCCCCTTACCTACCTTAGCATCACTAACATACGTACCTTAACATGACCCCAGAGGTCATGAGAACTGTATTCTAGTACTTTTTGCAAGGACAGCTGAGTTTTTTAATGCTAATTGTTTAATTATTTTTGTTGTTTTTCCTTAAGGCTTGTAAATTTTACAGTTCCCAGTGGTACGTGGTAAACTACAAATATGAACAATATTCTGGAGATATTCGACAGTTACCTGGGTAAGAACCTATTATAAGTAGAGCTTGGGTTTTCCCAAATATAAAATATTTATTTGTTTAAGTTCTGCCATTGTTTATGAACACACATATGTTAATCTAGTGTCAAGGAATATTTTATACAATTTTAAAATAAGAATCACAATAGAATATTTTATTCAACAATGCAATGTTTATATAGTGACAAAAATTTGGAATAAGCTATAAATATACTTATTTAATTTTGAACACAGTTTGAAGATATTGTTATATCATTTTTTTGTGAGCTGTCCTTTCAATAGCAGACACAAGGTTAGAAAACTACAATTTGGATCAAAAATTTTTCTGACAATATTCTGTATATAGTGTTCAGATTTGCCACTGGTTCTGTGTATCTTCATGCTGGGATATCAAAAATCACTAAAATAGCCCTAGCCGGTTTGGCTCAGAGAATAAAGTGTTGACCTGCAGACTAAAGGGTCACAGGTTCGATTCCGGTCAAGGGCACATGCCCGGGTTGTGGGCTCGATCCCCAGTAGGGGGTGTGCAAGAGGCAGCCTATCAGTGATTATCTCTCATCATTGATGTTTCTATCTCTCTCTCCCTCTCCCTTCCTCTCTGAAATCAATAAAAATATATTTTTTAAAATTTACTAAAATAAGCAACCTCCACAGAAATGATATATGCCTTAAAAAAGCTAAAAGGGATAAATAAACACCTCCTTTTCTTTCTGGACTCTGCGGAAAATGAAGCCTTTAGGAGAAGGTGACTTTTTTCTTTACACTCTCAGAATGTCAGCTTCACAGAGAAGCTCACCTGAACTAAAGCAGTCACTGATGCAGTGTTTGTGTCCCCACTGAAGTAAAAACCCCCAAAGTGCAGGGAGCTTCCTTGCAGAATCCCCTTCAGGCCTATGAGAATGCCTAGCACACATTAGGTGTGCAGTAATTACTTATCAGATAAGTAAACTGAGTGAATGGCAAATTTCAAAATGCAGGATTCCTAGATGAGATTGGATGCTAAAATTTAAGGAGCTTAAATAAACTGGGATCTTTCAATGCATTGGTTCATCAAATTAAAATGATGCAAATAACCCAGAAAAACACTTGAGATAATTCAAAGATATGTTTTTATTAACACTTTCCTCAAGGGAAATATTGAGATGATACACATAGCATCTAACTTTTCATGGACACATGGCTCAGACTTGGGTTCCACTTTCCAAGATTTCCCTTGCCCCCCAAAAACATCTTTTCCAGATTAGGGTACTTGAAAGTGCTCTCAACTTCAAAATGCAGAATAGGAAGGAGGAGTTAGGCAATGGCTCTGAGAAGGTGGCATTTGAGCTCAGATGTGAAGTAACAGTTACTACCAGCACTGTGATCTTGGGAAAAGGTTCCTAGAGGGAACAGGATGGGCAAAGGCCCCGAGGTGGGAATAAGCATGGTCACTTGAACAGAATGATAATCAAGGAGGCTGGAGCTGAGGGTTGGAAAGAGAGTAGAGAAACGAAACTCTGGAAACCTAGGCAGGAGACATTGTGGGCCCTGGAAAGGAGCTTGGATTTTACTCTCATTGCAACAGAAGCCCATGAAATGTTTAACCAGGAGTGTGACATGATCTGTTTTACCTCTTCGAAAGATTACTTGTTCTACTCTATGGAAAAGGGGATTGCAGTGATGAGAATAGGAAAAAGAGAGGTGTGTGGGGGGGGTCATTTCTTTTGGAGTTGCATTACTATGAAGACCCAATGTTCCTCCAAATCAGCACATGTGTTTTGTTGTTGCTTTTTTAAAAAACAAACAGTGAACATTAACTTTTACCAAATCTCTGGACATTCCATTAGAGTCAGGTAACTTGTAATAGATAACTTTCTGCGACTGCTCATTAAGAAGGTCCCATCACACAGTTAGGTGTGCGTGAGTAATTCAGAACGTCTGGGTGTTAGCACACAAGTTTTATAGGTGCAATTGAAAAGCAAAGCATTTTTTCTCACATCAAGACTTCCTCTTTTCCAAAATAGTTCAGAGAAGTGGTTACAACTTGGAGGTTGTGCCCAAGCTATTGGGATACTGCATATGAAGTATAGAGAACAGTGTTTAGCCTTTCAAATAAATGACTCCGCTGTCTTTAGGTCTAATGAAATTTTTTGTGGCTTTATCCCCAAACATTGTTTTTCTTTTCTTATATTTGTGATGTCATAAATACAGCTGTCAGAGGGGAAGGGGTTTGGGAGGCTGTGTGCAAAGGTGGAGGGATTAAGAAAAAAACAACTCATAGACACAGAGAACATTATAGTGATTACCAGAAGGAAAGGGGATGGGAGGAGGTAGGAGAGGGTAAAGGGGGGATAAATGGTGATGGAAGGAGACTTGACTTGGGTGGTGAACACACAATGCAATATACAGATGATGTATTACAGAATTGCACCCCTGAAACTGTTAGTATAGTTAGCTAGCTTGCCATACCACAATCTCCCATGAGTGGGTCCTTGGAATGCTTTCCTCCTGATCTCATGGAAGAACCCAATTTCCACTGGCAACATTACCTATATAATTTTATTAACCAATGTCACCCCAATAAATTTAATGAAAATAAATGAAAGAAAAGATTGGTGGTATTTTTCCTCTATTAAGACAATAGAGAAAGCACCTATAGTAAATACAGAGTCTTGTTGAATTGGAATGCCCATAGAGCATAAGAAAAAAATCTTGAGAGAAGAAATGCAATAGGAACCAAAACATTGTTGAGAATTTTTTTACTTTAACTAAAGGAAGTGGAAGTTGATACCATGAATGGGGAAGAATAAGACTGTCATAAAGTAAGAAAGTTTAAAGAAAAAAAATATATATATATTCAAAATGAAAATCAGAATTTCTAGACTATAATCCAGAAATATAATCCTCACATAGCCCCTGAAATAATGAAGACTGTAACACTGATTAGCAAAACTGTTTTTAAAATTATTTTACAAAGCTAAGCACTCCCCACTGAAGACTTTAGGTCAGTAGTGGGGACAGATACTTTACTTGGGCCTTCTGAGGCTATTAGAAGTAAATCATTTTCATACCTCCTGTATTAGGAGAATTCTCCTGTGTCTGCTAACAATTAAAATTGATCATTTCTTTTTATGGGTTGCTGAGGTTATAAAATGAAAACTTGCAATTCAGTGAAAAAAGAGGTGTGTGTTTATATTCCTCATTTTTATTCTTAAATTTAAAATTATATTATTATTAAGGCTTAAGAACTCCACTTTTTTAAGTGTCTGTTTATAGGAAGATACTGGAGAAATGTGAAATGTAAAGCCTTCACACATAAGGAATAAAAAAAAATCGCTGAACTTGTGGTTCCAGAATGACATAAAATTGTATGATGCCAATGGAGCCAAGTATATATATTCAATGAGGAAAGGAGCATCTCTTTAACAAATGGTGTTGAGAAAACTAGACAGCACATGCACAAGAGTGAAACTAGACTGCTGTCTTACACCATGCACAAAAATTAACTCGAAATGGATCAAAGACTTGAATGTAAGACCTGAAGCCATAAAGCTCCTAGAAGAAAGCAGGGGGCATAAGCTCCTTAACATTGTTGTTGGCAATGGTTGTTTTTTGTTTTGTTTTTGACACTGAAATCAAAGGCAACAAAAGCAAAACTATAAAGTGGGACTACATCAAACTAAAAAGCTTCTGCACAGCAAAGAAAACTATCAACAAAATGCAAAGGTAATCTATTGAATAGAAGAAAATATTTACAAATCATATATCTGATAAGGAGTTAATATCCAAAATATACAAACTCAATAGCAAAAACTCATACAACTCAATAGCAAAAAACAAACAACCCCCCCCACACACACACAAAAGAAAACCAATCTAATTAAAAATGGAAAGAGGCTCTGAATAGACGTTTTTTTCAAAGAAAACATACAGATGTCCAACAGGTACATGACAATGGAAAGTAAAATCAAAACCACCATTAGCTATCTACTCATACCTGTTAGAATGTCTATTATAAAAAGACAAGAAATAACAAGTGTTAGTGAGGATGTGGAGAAAAGAGAACCCTGGTGTATTGTTGATGGGAAAGTAAATTGGTGCAGTCACTATGGAAACCAGTATGGAGGTTCCTCAAAAAAATTAAAATAATCCAGCAATTTCACTTCTGGGTATTTATCTGAAGAAAATGAAAACACCAGTTTGAAAAGATATATACATCCCTGCAGTGCTATTTACAATAGCCAAGATATAAAAACAATCTGTCTATTGATGGGTGAATGGAATACTGTTCCATCATAAAAAAAAGTGAAATCTCGCCATTTCCAATAACATAGATGGTTCTCAAGGGAATTATGCTAAGTGAAATAAGTTAGAGAAGGACAAATACCATATGATCTCACTTATATCGGGAATTTGAAAACAAACAAACAAAAAAGAAAAAACAAGCTCATAGATACAGAGAACAGATTGATGGTTATCAGAGGCAGGAGGTGGGGGAAAGCAAAATAGTTGAAGAGGATCAAAGGTATTTCCAGCTATAAAATAAATGTCATGGGGATGTAATGTACAGGATGGTGACTATAGTTAGTAATACAGTATTTGAAAGTTACTGAGAGTAGATATTAAAAATCCTCATCAAAAGGAAAAAAAAAAGTCTATGTATGGTGACAGACATTAACTAAACTTACCCCGGAGATCATTTTTGCATTATATATAAATCATTATATTGTACACCTGAAACTAATATATTATTTATCAATAATACCTCAATTTAGAAGATATATATGATGCCACTGATCACATTAATCCACGGGGTAAAACACAAAGATATATGACATATCTAAGTTTTTTACTACAGCTGTTTTGATATAAAGAAGAACATTTTACAGAATGTATTTTGTGACTGAATATCAAATACAATGTAACCAATTTGAGGTTCTGGATTAATTAGAATAGATTTTTTTAAATAAAAGAATGTTTTCTGAGTGCGCTAGGTTCCGTTTGTATGTTATCTCATTTAGCAGCATAATCCCACAGAGTAGGAACTGTTATCCTTGCTGTGTAAAGGAAACTGGGGCACTGAGAGGGATAGTAACTCACCTCTAATCTCACAACTGTAACCAAGGAGGCTCTCAAGCATCCCCAACCCTTTATGTGGGCGATGGGGGTAATTTGGGTGTAGAAGTGAGCAATGAAACTGCCTAGAAATGAGGGCTAATGTTGGGTTCAAACATCATACTGAGCCCTTTACTTCAGGATCCCAAAGATTCAGAGACCACACAGTGCTGCTGGGGGAAGAATGTTAAACTCAGGAGCAGGGGTGCTTATCTTTCCATGGTCTGTGAAAGGGTGAATAGTCTTTGCTTAATGGCCCTGCAGGCATGAGAGACTGAGTGGTGACATGGTTACTTAAAGGCAAGGAGGGTTGTGCTGTGCAGGGCAGTGAGACCCGAATGACTGGGAAAGATGACCCCTCAATAGCCCCCATACTTTTTCTTACATGGCTGCTCTCACCTCCTATTGCTCTCCTTCCCCGACTGTGCTCCAGCCCCCAGCCTTCCACTCCTGGGCACTCCAACTTGGTTCCTCCCGGGGACCGGTACTGTCGCCATTCACTATGCCAGAATGACCTCCCCCAGATCATCACATGGCCAGCTTCGGTTGAGTCTCAATTTAAATGGCCATCCGTGACCACCCTTTCTAAATCTGGTCTCTTCCATCCCTACTTGGATCAGTCTTTTCTCCGCCCCACTTTAAATTTCTTCACAACCGTTTTCACCCAGGGAAATTACCTTGTTTATGTATGCTTAATTATCTATTCTCTCCTTCCTTGGAATGCTCACTTCCTCAGGTTGGGGATTTGTTTTCTGGTATATATTATTGGGGGTCTTCTGTGTAGCAGGTACTATCTGGGTACGGGATCATTTACTGGCAAAGAATAACCTCCAAGAATTAAGGCAACTCTGCATTCCCATTGAATTTGATCAAGCAAACTCAGAATTAAGAAAAGCCAGCAATGAAAAGATATTCACTCACCCCCACCCCCACCCCCACGATAGGATATAAATTGACACACACAGGTCTGCACTTTTTTTTCTATGAACATAAGGTCAGCAAGAATATTGTTAGGGACTAATGGACTTGGCTGAGTGATGCTCTCTGGAATACCTTCAACATAGAAGATTCTTTGTGATGGGAATATTGAATGTGCCACTGGGCTTTTTCCTCTCAATAGTCAGATTGTGAGGTTGCTTCTACACAGTCTACATCATCTTAAAGAAAACAAATATGCCATGCAAATTCTACATGTAAAAATGTCTAACTAGGTATCAAGAAAGATCTGAACCTTGAATGATAATGTCAGGTTTCCATTCTGCCATGAGGTGTGAGACAGAATCAAGCCAAGGAAAACTTATTTCTGTCTTATATTTCCGTGTAGAGAGCCAGGTGTATGCTCTCACTCCCCTGAGCTGGTCGGTGATGCTATGACACAGAGGTGTTTCTATGCTACCGTGGAATTTCACAAAGTGAGCACAATTGCCAATAATGGATGCAGACTTTTGGGGAGACCATGGTTAGGGGAGCAGCACAGTCTAGTGGCCAGATCACAGATTTGTTTTCTGGAACACAGTTCTTCAAATGACTGCCTGTACCCTTGGGCATGTCATAAAAAGGGGAAGCAGAAAGGTAATGAAAATATCACATCAGCATATGGAAGAGGAAAATATAAACCATCAAACCTAAAAATTATCCTGCTCATCTTCATCCCATTCAGTGTGTAAATCTGCATAAATATTAACTCCACGGATTAAAATAGAGATTTATTTGCTGGGTTAAGATGTCAAGGTGTAGGGGAAGGTTAATACCTCCAAAGAAAATGGGATCCTCACAAGGTTACATTAGTTTATTAAAAAACGCAGTAGTTGTTACCCAGGAAACAGCTGAAAATGAAAGCCGTGTCTCAAATGACAAATCAGAACCTTTATTTTTGTTTTAATATTAGAGCAGAGTACAAGCCAGAGAAACTTCCTTCACATTCCTTTGAGGTTGACCATGAAGATGCTGATAAGGATGAAGTAAGTAAATTGTTGAAAGTGAAATGTTTAAAACATGAGGATAATTAGTGCCTGTCTTTCACTTGAGTGTTCCATGTTCTGAACAGTTTTTCATCAAGCTGCAGTAACTGTTTGTATGAGGGCTTTTAGTCAAAATGAGTCACGTTTGTTTTGAGATTGAACATGATTATTTGAGATGAGTCAAAGAGAGAAAAAGAGGCTCATTTTTAAGTGCAAGTGCAGAAGATCTGGGATTCACAAAAGATTGCAGTCATGCTAATGATGCTTTTGTACAGGATACCACCTCCCACTCGTCTTCCAAGGGCGGTGGTGGAGCGGGAGGAACTGGAGTTTTCAAGTCTGGCTGGCTCTACAAGGGGAATTTCAACAGCACCGTGAACAATACCATTACTGTGCGGGTAAGGAGACATCAGGTGGCATCTTTGTGTCTGCCACCTTTCCCGACACCCCTTCTTCGGTCGGAGCACAGAGGAGAGCCATTTGCATTGAGTTTATGTTCTGTGTCATATTTTATTGATGAGAAAGGAGTGTGCTCTTCTCTCAAACAGCACCCTACAGGTGTCGCACTCCTGGAGGAATTAGAAAAAATGCTAGTTTCTGTGAGTAATAGGACACTGCAACCTCAACTACCTTCTTGTATCTTTTCCATTATTTAGTCATTCAAAAAGCGCTACTTTCAGCTGACTCAGTTGCCTGATAGCTCCTACATCATGAATTTTTACAAAGATGAAAAAATATCCAAAGAACCCAAAGGCTGCATCTTTTTGGATTCCTGTACAGGCGTGGTGCAGGTGAGTAGGAATCTTTTTTCCCTCTTGGGTTTTTTTTTTTTAAATCAAAGAGTATGTTCATCCAGTCATCAGTTATTTTTTCCACAAATATTTATGGAGTATCTGAGATGAGCCAAGAATTGTTCTAGACCCTAGGGATTCAGTGGAGAACAAGACAACCTTGATTCCTGCTTTCACAAAACTTACTTTCAATAAAGGAAGAAAAAAACAGAAAAAAGGCAAAGAAATAAATAAACAATAGAATCAGTTGGTGAAATCTGGAATAAAGAAAATAAACAGGGATACTGAAGGGAGATAGACAAATGATGACATTGGAAAAGAATGTTAATTTTCTAGAAGTGAGAAAAGTATGTTTGAAGAGAAAGTATTTGATCTAGAGACTGAAAAATGAGCAGGGCAGTGCATGCAAAGGTCCTGAGGCAAGAGCACGTCTTATATATTCGAGGAAAATGGACACCTGTGTAGCTGCATTAGAGAACCGCTGAACTAAAGAATTTTGTAAGATAACATGTAAATCATATCACTCAAAAGATACACTTCATAAATATTATCTTTATTATTAGATATGAGATAGTAAATTTATAATGTGCATATACATCATCTTCCTTCTAAGAGGAGGTTTCCCTCACAGACAAGGATTACATTGATTCCCAAGAGCTTAATTTAAGAAACAGACATAGTGCTTTTAACAGACAATGCTCTTCTGCAACCTCTTGATCTTCAGACTATTGTCCTTAATATTCAATTTGGCACGGACCACGGTGGCAAAGGGCAGCAGATAATTCCACAGACCTCATTTGGACCTCTTACTTTCAAGACATTTATTCTTTCTACTCTGATTAAATAGCTATCCTTATTCCCTCTTACATAAAAATTGAAGCAATCAAGTGTTTTAGCAATCTTACCTCAAATTTCACATTATTATTGTCTCAATGTGTTAAAAAAATAAAAAAGCCCTAGCCGGTTTGGCTCAGTGGGTAGAGCATCAGACTGAAGGCTCCAGGGTTCAATTCTGGCCAAGGGCATGTATCGGTTGCAGGCTCCTGGTCCTGGTCAAGGACCTTCGGGAGGCAAACAATTGATGTGTCTCTCACATCGGTGTTTATCTCTGTCTTTCCTTCTTTCTTCCACCCTCTCTAAGAATCAATGGAAAAAATGTCCTTGAGTGAGGATTAAAAAACAAACAAATAAAAACACCTCAGAGAGATAAAATACCTTTCCAAGTCACAGAACTAATAAATGGCAAAATTAGATCTGAGGCACAGGAATGTCCAAAATTACAAAAATATGCCCAAGAAAATCCTTTGGTTATTATACATGAAGTGGACATACCTGCACACATACACACATACATTTATCCTGTGTAAGCCACATGGGCACAGGAAACACTATAAAGATGTATTTATGTGCGGTTCTAAACAGTGCATTTTAGATGTAGGGTTTACTTCATCAAATGTATATTGAAATGCTTTCTATATGCAAGGCATTGTGGGAAAGCCACATATGAATTAGATGTGGTTTCTGTCTTCAAAGAGCTTCCAGCCTGTAGGAGGATGAACAGAAAAATATATATATATCGTGTGTAAAAATAAAGCATAAATGACTCATTTCAATTAGGTTCTGATAATACATGCAAGAGTGAAATTCTATTTATCGCTGATGATGATAAATTGCATTATATTACATTATACATAGTATATATGTGTTAGTTCCATTTATTTGTTTATTGACACTCCATTACACTAGAATGTAAGTTAAAGGAGGGCAAGCACTTTACATGTGTTTTTTAATGCTATGTACTTGGCACATAGAAGGTACCTAATATTGTTTATAAATGAACAAATAAACATACAGAGAATGGACAGAATTGCACGGGTGGCAGCCAGCAATACCAGTAACCTGGAGTTGATGTTGTGTGTTTCCTTTTAAAACTCTTCTTTAGTTTCTGAAAAATTCTGTATCTAGCACCATTGCTGGTGTGATGGAATATTTTGTTTGGGTAAGTTCTTTCTTCGACATTCAGTCCTCCATTGGCTTTAGTGGCGTCCTTGGAGTATCTATTTCGAAACTTTTCCAGATGAACACTGTAGAAACAGACCAGTTTGCTACAACTCATTAAACACATCAGATGGCATCAGGCCACATTCAGTTTCCTATTGTTTATGAAGCCGTGTAGGTGGGCTGTGGTGAGCTTGGATGAGCAAAGTAGTTGCAGTGGATACAAAGAGCACTGATTTCATGGAAACAGGGGAACATTGGGGGAGTGAAATGAGTATGATTACTTTATGAATGCCATTGTAATGACTTAACTATTGCATTTCAAGATTATTAAAATGTTCCATTGATTTTTCTATTTCTGTCCTTTCTTTTTTGCTAGTTGATATGCCATTATTTTGGAGAGTGAGATAGAAAACCACTTTAGACATCTTAGTCCTCTCCAACATAAACCTCTCAACACTGAAAGCGGTTCTATTTCTCTCCAAATTTAAAAAAAATAATTTGGTGTCTGAGCAGTTGTAAATGGAATATTTATTTTATTTATAAATACCACCTCTTTGTGAGAACCAAGGGATGGCTTATAATAATTCGCACAAAGTTTTAAAAAATATTTGTAATAATATTGTTGAACTTGGCAACAATATTAAATTTATTTGATGTACAGAATGCAATTTAGGAAATCAACATTTTTTAAATATTTCATAATGTTTTCTTTCTAACATTTTTATTAGTTTCTTAGCAGCAGCATTGGAAAGCAGGTTGCAGCTTGATCCACTTTTAACTTGGACCCAGTATTAGCAGTTTGCATAGCTGCATCTCCCAGTACTCATGATTTACAACATCAGATTAGTCAAGGAGACTCTTTAACTTGTTTGTTTTCAAGACAGCACTGAGATTGGCTTGCATTTGCAATTGTCAAATAATTAACAATATCCTAGCCCAGTGGTCGGCAAACTCATTAGTCAACAGAGCCAAATATCAACAGTACAATGATTGAAATTTCTTTTGAGAGCCAAATTTTTTAAACTTAAACTATATAGGTAGGTACATTGTTATTAACTTAATTAGGGTACTCCTAAGGCTTAGGAAGAGCCACACTCAAGGGGCCAAAGAGCCGCATGTGGCTCTCGAGCCACAGTTTGCCGACCACTGTCCTAGCCAACTAGAACTCTGGGCATTTCTAGTTTTTCCCTTTTTGTCTATTTCTCTTCCTGTGGGATTCGTTTTTTGTTTGTTTGATTTTTTTTAAAAAAAGAAACCTGTCTCTCTTTTTTATATGTGCTATCAGCCAACTTGTCTTTGTCCTTAGGCAGTCTGTGTCACTGAGGTCACAGGAGGTTCAATGGACCTCCTTGGACAGAAGCCCAGGAAGCTTGTGTGAGGGTGTATGGAGGGAGTCTGCTCACTCTCCCTGCGGGGAGCGCGGCTTCTAAGAACTTGCATTCTTAAAGAGGCTGCCTAGATGTTGGCTTTGCACACAGTAGTTTGAGGCCACTGCCTTTCTGGTGACTCCTCATTCTGTTTACACTGCAGCCAAATAATTTTTTCCAAATGCAGCTCTGGACTTTTACTTGCCAAAGCCATCCTGCCCTGTGCTCTCATGAGACCAGCTATATTCTCATATGCCAATAGCAATTCTGTTCTCAAAAAACATATTAATACCTTGACTTTATACCTTTTCTTCAACATATTCATACAAAATGCGAGTACATTTATCTCCCAATATCACACTGTGTTTCATTGGTTAAGGCCTGTCTCCCTGTTCTGCCGGGGCAGAGACTTTGTTTCTTCCTGACACAAAATGCAAACGCAATAGACACCTCTTTATGAGTGAATGTTATCACTGCACTGAGCACTGAGGACAGTGAGGCAGCTTCTGCTCTAATCAAGCTCATGGACAAATAAAAGAGCCAGCCTGCAAGTGAGTCATCACAAGGCAAGGAAATAATACCTTTGACAATAGTACAAAAGTATAGACGGGAGCAAATAACTCGTCATTGGAAGAGTGCAGAAAATAGCATTTGAACTGTGACATTTTACAGTGAGAATCACACGTAGCTTTTAAACTGATTCTTCTTTCTCCTTCAATTTCCAAATTTAACTTTTCCTTGAGGCATTTATGTTGTCTCACTGTCTATTCTCAGCACATGGAAAATCTATTACCTCCAGGCCACAGCTACCCGTTGGTGGGTGATTGTGCCAGGGAGGTAGCAAGGAAGGAGGATGGCATTCACTGAGCATCTTCTTTATACCCGGGTCATCTCAGTGGGTGTTAAAGTCTAAAGAGGTTATTTCCCCTTTCTACCACTTGCTACCCATGTAATTCCTAGCTTACCTGCCCAAGCCTCAGTGTCATCATATGATAAATGGAATAATATGATTTTTCACACAAAGGTTGTTGGGAGATTTAAATAAGATAATGACTGTAACATGTTCAGCACAGTGCCTGGTATACAGATGGCGAGTATTTAGTAAGTGTCCTCTTTGTAGTTGTAATTGTGCTGTGGAAGTTGAAAGGAACAAGTTATTTTGGGAGAGTGTCTGAAGGCATCCCAAAGAAAAAGGACATTGCCAGGAGGATATTCAAAATTACTTTTTGTTGCCACCAAGAAGAGCAACCCTATTCCCATAAAATAATTTATACTTTGATATTTATCTACAATTACACACGATAGTAACACTCCCATCTTCTGGTTCTTCTCCAGTTTGTGTTTTACTTATACAAAGTTGAGTTATCATGAGTATATAGGCTTTGCTTTATTATAGTGTGGGGGCTCTAAAGATTTTAGAACAGTGTTAGAATACCTATATCAGAATTACAGATTGATTCATACCCATCTAAATTTGTGTCCTATTTTGGAAAATTTCTTTATGTTACTTACCTATATGGAAAACTTTGGAACCATCAGGAGCCCATGAAATATGTCTCCCACGCTCTAAGACTTATTTATCTGGTGTTTTTTCTTTCTTTTTGTACCAAAGAATAACAGACTAAGAAAATATGCCTTTGAATTGAAAATGAATGACCTGACCTATTTTGTGCTGGCGGCTGAAACGGAGTCCGATATGGATGAATGGATCCACACCCTCAACCGCATCCTGCAAATCAGCCCTGAGGGACCCCTTCAGGGTCGGAGGAGCACAGAGCTCACCGAACTGGGGCTGGGTAAGAGCACATCACCAACCCCTTCCATCCTTTGCAAAGTGTGACCTGTGTATTTGGGTCATTTAAACTCCTAGAAGCTATAGTAGCTGGCAGGTCTAGCTCATCCATCCCTGAGCTCCAAGAAATTGTCCCTAAATTTTTACTTGTACTGAATAGTGAGTGTCACCACACATAGGTACAATTTTGACTGGACGAACAGTGATTAAGGCTGATGGCCAGCAAATGATGTTGGGAAGCATTTTTCATCAGCATAAAAAATGTACCCAGATCTGATGAGATGTCACCCTGGAGGTGTTTTATAGCTCTTCTTTAAATTTAATTAATTAACAGTATACTCTGTGAAGGCAAATATGCATTACTTCCTTTTAATTGAAAGGAGTGTCATCTATGCCTTTTGACCATACTGAGATCTGCTTATGTATATGTGAAAGTTCCATAAATTTGACATAGTATTAGAGATTTTTATAAGAAAATAAATTTTTCTGCCCATCCTAATTCCCTCAAAAAGATTCAAATTCACTCCAGGCAAAGAGAAGGGAGCAAAAGAGAGGAGAGAAGGAGTGCAAAGAATGGTAGATAAAGCAGATCTATAATTATGTGGAAAACAACTTCACCTTTAGAGTCAATCATTCCTCCCAAAGGAAACTATTTTAAGGCATCTTGCACTGCATCGTGGTACATGAGAAAACAAAGTGTCTTTAAGTTCTAGTAGCCTAAGTATCATGTGCTTTTAAGTGAACAAGTCATGGGATAATGAGGAAGAAAATCATTGTTGCTTTTAACACCACTTCTGTGTACCATAGTAGGTGTTTTACATTCATGATTTACTTAATAATATTCAACTAGAAAATTAGTGTTTACAGAGTTGTAGAGAGTTTAGTAACAGAAGCTAGAATGTGAGTTTTAAACTGATGGCCTGAGAGTCAGAATTATCAAAAATAAAAACATATGTATAAAAGCTTTAGTAGGCATTCATGAAGTAAGTCAAGACAGCACCAAGTATTAATGTAGAACTGTAAGGGTTCAGAGTTCTCATGGGCACAGGATGGTGTCATGGAAAGAATCCCAAAAGATCATTAGAAGGTCTGATTTCCCAGCCAATGTCTTTTTAACAGTAAGGAGTACTGGAACCAAGATATAGTGAAGGCATCTGTTCACTAACATCCATCTTTCATCGCTCTTGGGTCTAACCCAGTGGTCGGCAAACTCATTAGTCAACAGAGCCAAATATCAACAGTACAATGATTGAAATTTCTTTTGAGAGCCAAATTTTTTAAACTTAAACTATATAGGTAGGTACATTGTTATTAACTTAATTAGGGGACTCCTAAGCTGGCCTTTGCTAAAAACATCCTCTCCCTCCTCCTCTCCCTGCTCCTCTCTCTCTCCCCTCTCTCCCTCCCCTCTCTCTGGAATCGAACCTCAGATGCTTCAGTCCGCAGGCCAACGCTCTATCCACTGAGCCAAACCAATCTATGCTCTTCTCCTCTCTTTTTTTTTAGGGGATAAGGCAGAGGGTTTTGAAGCCGTACCAAAAGGAGGGATAAATAACTCCACTTCTTTACTTGGACACAGAGCAGTCCAAGTAAGACCCCAGAGGCTTAAAATAGTGTACAAGTTGGGCAATTATGATGTGTTCCAACCATAAACTGAAAGAAAGGATGGAAGGAGATGAGGTTGGAGACAAGGGTCCCAGGCTGTCCTCACATGGAAGTCATTACAAAGCCTCTCTTTCCCACACTCCCTCTTCACTCTCTTTCTCCCTTTCACCAGATTCACCTATTTGCTTTAAAATAACCCCTCAATTGAAAATTGAAAACAATTCAGGCCTTAGTCAGGATTTTCACCTTTATCCTGAGAACAATAGGAAACCATTTGGCAGACTTAATTAAATGAGTGGTCAGAGCAGGTTTTCTTTTTAAGTTTATTTTTGTTGCTGCATTGAGAATGGTCTGAGAAGGAATGGACAAGAAAGATTTGGACAGAGCAGTCAGGTGGTAATAGGTAAGAGAGATCATGGTGAACTGAAGTGGTGGTAGCAATAACATAAAAGGAGTATTGGACAGGTGTGGAAAGTATTTCTAAGGTAGAATTGATAGGTCTTGCTGATGGGTTGAATGATCTTTTACCCTCTCTGCATCCACCCGCTTGGACTTGACCATGTGCCTGGCTTTGGGTAATAGAATGAAACAGAAGTGCAAGTATGGTGTTTCTAAGTCTACCACTCTAGAGGCCTTGCTTTTTCTTGTGTTTCTGTCATCTCCATGAGGACATTCCTGAGGTAGCCTACTGGCATGGAACAGATATGTGGCAGAGACTTGAAGTGACCAGTCAGCCCAGTTGAGACTCCTCTTCAGTGGTCAGCAAACTCATTAGTCAACAGAGCCAAATATCAACAGTACAACAATTGAAATTTCTTTTGAGAGCCAAATATTTTAAACTTAAACTATATAGGTAGGTACATTGTTATTAACTTAATTAGGGTACTCCTAAGGCTTAGGAAGAGCCACACTCAAGGGGCCAAAGAGCCGCATGTGGCTCTCGAGCCACAGTTTGCCGACCACGGGTCTAACCTAGTTTTGAAATGTCACAGGCTAGAAAAAGGTGTGACTCATTAGTTGTTCTTTAATAAGCTGTCTTTGTGTATCTTTTCAAGATTCGCTGGATAATTCTATCACATGTGAATGCACACCAGAGGAAACAGATTCTTCAGAGAACAGCCTACATCCAGACTTCACAAAAGTAATAAAGCTGACACATTATCATGCAAATGAATTTGCATTGCTTACTACTTAATGCTTTCATGGAAAAGATGGAAATGCTTTTTTTTTAAGGTTTAAGCAAAGAAACACAAAATTCAGAAAATAAAGCATGTTTTTTATAAGACTTGCCAAGTGTCAATGGGTGATTTTAAAACTCTGATAATACTAAGGGGGCTACTTCTTGCCATATTGATGGGGCTGGGCTGTAGGTATCTGGCTATTTAGACCGGAGCTAACACAGTATTCTCTGTAGTACCTCACAGAAACTGAAGAGACTGTCAAAGCCACTCGAAACCTGGAGAGGCTAAATCTCTTCTCCATGGATCCAGATATAGAAGTAAGTTGGAATTCCTTCTAAGCCCACATGAAACTTGATCCATACAATTGTAGTTTATACATTTTTTGTGTGTGTGGATGGATTTTTGTAGTGGAGTAAAACTGTCAAAATTTTTCTAGACCTTGAAACTTCAGAAAAAGAATCTTTTAGAACCCGAGTCAGTGATTAAACCATTTGAAGAAAAAGCTGCCAAGAGAATCATGATCATTTGTAAAGCTCTCAACTTCAGTCTTCAGGGATGTGTTACAGAGAATGAAAACGATCCGATAACGAATGTAAGTTGCTCTTCTGTTACTTCCTATACCAATTAACCAACAGCACACCACCCCAGTCAAATCTCTTCTGTTCCTAGTCATTCCAAGCACAGACTGCACACCATCTAGTGTAGCAGGGAATGTGACTGACAGCATTTTTACACATGACAAAAATGCACAAGTTCTGAAATGGAATTGTCAATATGCTGCCATAAAATGTTTCTGTTAACTTAAAGAAGCATCAGAGGGACTATGTTTTAGGATTCTCTTCATTAAATCAGCATAGCTTCTGAGTTTCCTAAGATACTGTGTGTATCTTCTTGTATCTCAAGATAGCTTTTAAATTGACATTTTTATTTTAATAGTTATATGTTTATTTTAATTTGTATTAGAAAGTAATTTAAATGAACATACCAGCCCTGTGATTTCACAGTTATTACTGTCTAAGACAAGGCTAAATAGTGAACCAAGTGAAATAATATCAGGTAAATATTAAATAAATAATAGTACAGATGCTACATGCAAATTGTAGGAAAAAGTGCTTCACTGATATTTGGAAAATACCACACTGCTCATTAAATCAATACAAGAGTCCTTTTTCTACCAAATAGACCCTCTTGAGAGTTCTCCCCGTTCTAGGGTGTAGTTCTATGCTAATTGTGAATGCATGTGTGGGAAGAGTGCATTTTGTGAGCATCAACATTACCAAATGTTTCTACAAAGAAGAAAATAAAAATCACTCATAATCCTACCATCAATTTAAAAAGTTGCTATATTGGCATGTTACTTTTTACTATTTTTAATACATTCTTTTCTAATTTCTAATAAATCATCTCTCAGATGTCATTTTTCACCTGTAAGTAAAAACTTATTTCCAGATCCATGGTAAGGCCCCATTTGCTTTTAGAAGGCAGACACAGCATTACGTTTCCCTACAAACTGTGCACTTCATGCATATACATCTCTTTTTAGGTGGAGCCTTATTAGTTGTGATGGTGAGTGGCTGGCAGAAAGGACAAACTCTGGATTTACCCTAAGTGTGAGAGGAGGCGATTCAAAGGTTTATAGTAGTTTATAATGATGCAATCTAATCTGTGTTTCTAAAATATCCATCAGGGGAATGGATTGGAGGAAACAGGAGTTGATAAGGAAGAGAAGCTATGAGGCTATAGTACATTTCCTCATTTGGATTAGGGATAGCAAGGAAGGAGAGAAATGGATGGTTTTGACTGACGTGTTATAAATTGACAGGTTTTTCTGGTAGATTGGATATACAGGAGAAGGGAAAGGAAAATCTCAAGGATGAGTCCTTAGTATTTTCTTTGAGCAGTTCTATGCAGGATGCTGCCATTTACTGCCATTAAGAGGACAAAACTGTAGTAAGAGCAGATTTGGGTGATTTAGGCCAAAAATTCCACTATGGACATGTTAAGCCTGACAGGCCTATTGGATAGCCAAATAGAGATATCTATTTAACAGACTCAACACAAGTTTGGAACCAAGGGACTGGTCATGAGCAGACATATCAACTTGGAAGTCTGGTCAAGGCAGTGACCTGGAGGGAATCATCTAGAAATTTCTATGTACGTAGAGACAACAACCAAACATTTAAATGATGAATAGAGATGTGACCAAAGAAGACTATGAAGGAATGACCATTGAAATAGAGATAAACCAGGAAAGAGTGCATCATGATGCCAAGAAAGAAAGGGTCAGCAATGAGGAGTGGTGCTGAGAGGCTGAGTAACACAAAGCCAAAGAGGAGCCCAGTGGGTGTGGGAACATGGAGGATGTTGGTGGCTATAAGGAGAAACATATGTGGAGTAAACGTGTTAGGAGGAACAATCAGAACATACTTTTATATTCAGGATTTTAAAAAAAAAACACACACACACACACTAGAAACTTGTTTTTCAAAAATACTATTAGAAATATCAGAAAAATTTAACCCAAACCATAATGTCACTTAATCATCTTATTAAAGAAAAATAAATGCTTTTTTTACTCTAATTAAAATGTCAATTTAGGAACTGAAACACAAAGATAATGGGCTTTTCTTCCTAGTGGCAAGGACATATGACTCCTTTCCCGTGGATTCCTTTATTTGTACAAAAAATCATATTCAGAAGCTCATTGTTTGTATTTGGGCCAATCTCTCAAGCAAGAGAACAGGCAGAAGTTCAGAGAGCAGCTTACAGTCTCTCTCACATCTGTCAGCTAGAGGGAGAAGTTGATTTGGAGTGCTCTGTATGTCTGTATAGGTTTAATTTATTTTACAGTTGCCATAAATGTTAAAAAACAAGGAAATTGCTTTTTAAAATATAATGTCATTATGCTTATAAGCAATGTTTTACACAATCAATAAAGCAGCCACACCTTAACTCAACAGCAGTTTGCTATGCGATGGCATTCTTTTTTTTTTAATTCTTGCATATTTTTTCAATGACACTGTTTTATTAATATAGCTACTTTTAAATTTATTGTTTCAAGTCCATGAACATGTTTTTAAATTAATCGAAATATTGTTTTAAGTTGCTGAAGAACCAACTGCTGCATTTAATGAATGAACTTCTAAAAAACACCCTAAAAAGAACTTTTGCATGATGAGGAAACTATTTGACAGCATGTAATTTTTTAGTCAGTCATTGAAAACCACATTCAGGTTGATGGTTTTATAGTATAAAATATTTCTTTTAAAATGGGAGTTAATTCCAAAAATCTAAAATAATAAAGCTGCTTCACAGCAGAGCAACATTTAAAATGTCATGTTTTTTATTTTTTTTATGAAAAGTACAAAATTCTAAACAAAAGAAACCTATTATTTTATTTGTTAGGCTTTGAAGGTGCTTTATTAAACAAATCCTTACTGAAAAGCTAGTGATTCAAAGAGTAAGAATTGACATTTAAGTTGAAAAGCTGGATTTGAAGAAATAAATGAATCACTGTATGAGCTTTAATTTCTGATGGATTATCAATGTAGGTCATTTATTTCCATTCTCTAAGCAGAAATGAAAATCAAAATGCAACAATTCAGGAAAAATAATACGGATTTTTTCCTTTGACCTTCAATGTGTTTATGTTCTTGCCCGAGTAATTTTCATGTGATTTTTTTCATTTTTCAACTCTTGGCAGACTACCATTACCACAAACCAGGAGTTTTTATGTAATAAATTAAATTGGTAAAACATAAAGCTTTTACTTTTTAATTGTATTTTTTTTCCAAATTAATTTATTGAATTTCATTTTGTATGTGTCATTCTATTTGTAACAGTAAGGCAGCTGATAAGTATTGGTAATATTAAGGAATTAAATGAAAACGCTCATTATAAGTTAAACCTCATTATAATTATAACTTCAAAGAGCAAGAAGTATCTATTAAACATTCAGCAAAATCCACAGCATGAGTGAGTCTGTACAATGATGAACCATGTCATAATTTGATTTGTATGTATAACCTGCTTGACCTTAGAATATTGGAAGATACATGATGGGTATCAAATCAAAATGAAGAAGCATAAATATAAGTAAAAATGTTTTTGTGAGCATGTTCTAGCCTTAGAAGCCTGTAATCTATATATATAAAAGGCTAATATTCAAAGTGTTCCCTCGGGAGTTCGACCGGAAGTTTGATCGCTTGCTATGATGTACACTGACCACCAGGGGGTGGCACGGGATGAAAAAAGGCCCTGGCCGTCAGCCAACAGCTGAGGAAGGAAGGTCCTGGCAGGCAGCCAGAAGGCCCCGATTGGCCTTGATCGCCGGCCAGGCCTAGGGACCCTACCCGTGCATGAATTTTGTGCACCGGGCCTCTAGTTACATATATAATTATTCATATACATGTACGTACATATGGATGTATGGATGTGTGTGTGTGTGTGTATATATAATGTATATAATTACATATACATAGATTTGTTTCTTTTAATCCTTGTTTTATTTAATCTGTTCATTTGATGTTTTTCTAATTGAAATGTCACTCTTGAATCTTTTTCCTTTTCTTCTGTGATACTCTGGTAGCATTAAAAAGTTTTTTTTAGCAGTTTGGGGTTTTGAGGGTGATCTTTTTATTTGTTTGTTTGGTTGGTTTTTGTCAAAACCATCGGTTCTCTTTCCTGCAGGTTGAGCCTTTTTTCGTGAGTGTGGCCCTTTACGACCTCAGAGACAGCAGGAAGATTTCAGCTGATTTCCATGTGGACCTGAACCACTCGGCTGTCAGGCAGATGCTCTCAGGGGCCTCCGTGACGCTGGAAAATGGGAACATAGACACTGTCACCCCGCGGCAATTGGAAGAACCTCATGTCAAGGGGTTTCCAGAGGAATGGCTGAAATTTCCAAAGCAGGTTGCACTTTTATTCACACATGGTGGGGCATAAAATGCTGTCCCACTGTTCTTTCCAATACCCTACACAAGAGGAGCAATTACCCAAATAAAAATTCCCTTAAAGCTGTTCTTTCAAAACAAATGAGATTTTGTAAATGTCTTCAGGGTGGCCTCCTACATGCTTCCTAGTTTATTAATCCTAACTCTTTTTTTTGTACATAGGCCATATTCTCCGTAAGCAATCCACATTCTGACATTGTTTTGGTGGCCAAAGTCGAGAAAGTATTAATGGGAAACATTGCAAGTGGTGCAGAACCTTACATTAAGAATCCAGACTCCAACAAGGTAATCCATGATCTTTTCCACACAGCATTTCAATTGATTTCAAGAAATAAAATTGCATTGTCTGATGAATTATCAAGTTTGATAAGTTTAAGTCTCAAAATATTTACTTAGTGCATAAATATTTTCACTAAGGCATTTACTTAGGCATCAGGAAAATTTTAAAGTATATATTCCTGGCTTATGCTTTGTGACCCAGCAGTTTCTGACTTTTGATCATCTATTAGTAGAAATAAATTTAAATGTGGATAAAGCTTTAATTCCAAGGATCAAAGTGTTAACAATAATGAAAGTTAGGATTAATCTGACTAAAAACAAGTTAATACAGCCCACTAAGACATTATTAATGCTGATGGGAAACTATGAAAAGGGGGATAGATAATTGCATATCAAATTATAATAGACCTAAGTAAAGAAAGAAAGAATAAAGGATATACAGAAAGTTCTTTGAATGGTGGGAACATGGGATTGTTTTTTCTATGACATTTTCTTTAATAATTGAATGCTACTATTTAATAGAAAATAAATATAAGTCTATATTTTCCACACAAAAGAAATACATTGCAAAAATAATGTATAACCATTGAATTTGAACATATGTGTCCATTTAGGGCAGAATTTAACAGATTTATGAGATTCAGGGTTTGGCAAACTATGGTGTGTGCGCCAAATCTACCCTGCCACCTGTTTTTGTAAATAAAGTTTTATTGAAACACAGTCACACTCATTCATTTATGGATCTTCTATGACTGCTTTTCTGCTAGAGCAGAGATGAGAAGTTGTGACAGAGACCATATGGCCCAATATATTTGCTGTATGAACCTTTACAGAACAATTTTGCTGACCTCTGCCATGATAAATAAAAGAAAACATAGCACAGACTCTGAATGTAAATTTGGTAACACTTTCCATTCAATATTTTAAGGTTTTTGAAATCAGAAGAAAGAAAAACTTTGATATTCCAAGACAAGGGTATTTTCTATATTTGAATTTCCAAACTAAAAAATAAAGACAAATATTATATAGTAGTTTAACACAAAGACTTATCATTTGGCTCTTTAAGAGGTGCATCTGTGGGCCCAGTAAGTCAGAATTCCATTGAGTTTCAATGTAAGATAACATAAAAAATATTTGTTAATATTTTTCATGGGCAGGTTGTAAAGTGATGTTCTAAACCACATATCATTTATTTTCCCTTAGTGTGCACAAAAGATACTCAAATCCAATAGGCAGTTCTGCAGCAAGTTGGGGAAATACCGCATGCCTTTCGCTTGGGCAATGAGGTAGGTTGACAATTGCAACCAACAGAATAGAAATGCATTTGTAGTCAGCATTGGAAGCTTCCATTTTGAACGCTTCTGTGTTACTTGTTATTTTTAATATACTAACACCTAGAATAATGCTAATGTGTTCATCTTTATAAATACCTTGAGCTCCTCAGAAATGTGTTTTACAAGACAATCAAGACAACTCATACTAAACTGAGGCCACGACATAGGTACAGTGTTGGCATGACCAGGTATGCTGTGGGTTCTTGGTAGGGTCAAATCAAAGTCATAACTTGTTTAGGGTATAAATTTATCAAACACCTGACATTATGTCACCCCTGAGAGTTTGATGTGTATAAAATTCAGATGGACACACACTGATGTCTTAGGCAGCTGCACGTTTTCATCTATGCGTAGAGCGCAGGTCTATGTATGGTTGTCTAGAAGAAGCCTTCAGGTTGATCATTTAAACTCTCTTTGATTTTGGTGCTGATTAGCATAGCTACATTTATCAGTACCAGTTGATGCTGATAGCAATGCTGAGTTATATAGACACTGATGATGGAATCATCCTCCTGGAAATATAACCTCTGCATAAAGAACAAAAATAGTTTGTTGGATCTACTCAAACATCCATTATTATTGTCCTCTTCAATCTCTGTGCATCTTTATTCGTATAATAATTTCTTAAAGGAGGAAGAGCCTGGAACAGACATAAGGAAAAAATGGCCAGCAGTGCACAAATCAAATGAACTACAAAATGGGACTGCCTATTAAGTAATCATTTGAATGTTGATAACGCTGACCCATGGCAGCAATTTTACAATGCAGAATGAAGTGAGAACCAGTTACTTATGCCATGCTTAGGTCTCCCAGTTCCCAGCGATGAGCAGAACCAGAGTAAACTCACCAATGTTTGTTATAGTTTTGAGGGTGTTAAAGTTGGTACAAGTAAGTGCAAGGGATGAGAAATGTGGGAGTCTGGGCAACAGTAAGCCTGTATAGGCTCACACGGTCTCTGGGAATTTGTGTGCTGTAAGGCAGCCTTGCAGTACGGGAGAAGGAGACCAGGCCCAGGAGTCTGACAGAAAGGGTCTAGATCAGGCACCACTTACAGTTTGTAACTTTGGGCAAGTTTCCTTCCTGATTCTCACGGCCTCATGGGCAGTAAGCGCAATCTCAGGTGCAGAAGCCCATGGCATAAAGTAGATCATAACTATCACTTGATCTCCCTTTTCCCTCTCTCTCCTACAGGGACAATTAATACCAGGAGAGTCTGCATGAAAAAGGTTCTAGTGAGATATACTGAACCGTCTCTGATAAATATAATGGTTTTTACTTCTGATATGTTTCAAAAGAAAGGATAACTGGCTGTAATTTGCTGGTCAAACTTTTTGACATTGATAAGTATTCTCAGCAGTTCCCACAAGAAAATCCACTGGAGCAACAAGAAACAAAATATCCCTTGGCAAAAGTAAAATATCCCAATATAGCAAAATTACAATGGTGAACGTATTTGCTCTTTAAGGATCCAGCATTGTTCTGAGGTTTCAGAGGCAGGCATTTTAGAACCAGAGTTGGGTTTGAAATCTCAACTAGACAAGTGAACTTAAGCAAGTACTTATGGTTTGTCTTTACCTCGGATTTTTTAAAGGAATGTTTTTAAAATATATTTTTATTGATTTCAGAGAAGGAGGGAGAGGGAGAGAGAGATAGAAACATCAATGATGAGAGAGAATCACTGACTGGCTGCCTTCTGCACGCCTTACACTGGGAATCTAGCCTGCAACACAGGCATGTGCCCTGACCGGGAATCAAACCGTGACCTGGTTCATAAGTCAATGCTCAACCACTAAGCCACACTGCCCAGGCTAAAGGAATTTTTAAACGATTCTTTTTCGAAAGAGGAAGGAAGGGAAGGAGAGAGAGAAAGAGAAACATCAATGTGAGAGAGAAACACCAACCAGTTGCCTCCTGTATGTGCTCCAACCAGAGATCCAATCTGCATCAGTGTATGTGCTCTGACAGGGAATTGAACCCGCCACCTCTTGGTGTATAAGACAATGCTCAACCAACTGAGCCACAGTGGCCAGGGCTACCTCAGATTTTTTAAATGTACAATAGAGGAAGGATAATACCAAATTTACTCTTGCAGGAATTAATGAGCATGGGTGTGTACCCAATAAAAGATAGCCATTATTAGAAGTCATTATTCTCATGTGATTATTATGAATTCTCCTATGGCAATCACACTCACCACAACAAGTTCCCTTTCTAGTAAATTTGAGGCAGTGAGAAATAAGTAAAATAATTACCCATCACAGAGCAGTAAGAAGAAGTACCAATCCAACTTTCAAGTTTCTAGTAAAATATGTTGGAAGAAAGACAGATGAAGTTTCTAGGAAGGCTGGCAATGTTACCACTATTAAAGTAATTATGTCTAAGACAGGAAAGCCAACAAAACCACAAGCTCATGCTACATGAATACCTGATGAGTGGTTTGGTTGTAGGTTAGGGAACAGTATACACCACCAATTTCGGTATATAAATATATGTTTTAGACTTCCATAGACATTACTAGCAACTGAGAAAAATGGTTAGCATACATTTCTAAAGGTTTTATGTTATACTACTTGTATTATCTAACCACAAAAATAAGTAGCAGATACAATTAAAGAAGATTTTAACTTTATTATATGGAAACTGCCTCCAATAAACATTGAACGCTCATTGTTATTCATATGATTTTGACATAAGCTAATTCCTGACATATTTCAATACCCTACTGATACTGCTAATTCTCTGGCTACTTCTATTATATTTCTAGATTGACATTGATTCACATTACAGCTTTGATTGTATCCTAAAACACTTTGGCCCTTAAAATCAACTGTCACTAATCAACTATCACATAGAAGTAACAGTATAACATATGACCATATTTTTACCCAGATCTAATCATCTGACCCACTACAAGACACAGATGCTCATTGCTGTGAACATTTTATCTGAAATTCATGTTCTTATCTTTGACACCAGCTGTGGTGTCATTTTACAGCAAAAAAACATTTATCCTCCAGTAGGTAGGGTGTTTTACACTCATTGATTCAGGAGAAAATCATGTTGTTAAATGGAACCCTCTCTGTGCATATCACCCTAGAATAATATGTGCCCTAAATCCTTGCCAGGACTTTTTTATTTCTTTACTCTGTTTCATGCAATGTTCTAAATGGGCCAGTGCACAACACTGAATTTTCTTTAAAATTGAATGAGACTACAGTAAAATATTGTTCTTATATTTATAACTGAGAGAAGGTACACAATGTAATAATATCCCCAACAAATAGTTATTCAATCTCTGTTTGAATCCTTCCAGTGACAAAAAGTCAAGTGCCTCCCACTGTGGTTCTTTCTATCTTTCTGTAGCTCTGATGATTAGATAAGTCGTTTAAAAAATGTTTAAACTGTTTGACAATCGCTTCTATATTTTGTTTTCTATAGCCACAAAAAATATGCCCAATTCTTTCTGTACATTGTGGCATTCATGCTACCTATGAATGAAGCGCTAAGGGACACCTAAGCTTCTTTTTCTTTTGGCTAAACATTGCATTTCCTTCCATCATACCCCAAATGCCATGATTCTGAGACTCTCACATATACTGATCATTGCTCAACTGCGGCAACTGGAACTAGTAGGCACAGTGTCCCAGCCACCCTGAAGCCATCTGTGTAAATGAGACAGTCTGTGTTCTGTTGCCAGTTAGAATATTTATCGAGCAAGGACAGGGTGTTTGGTACTATGCATAATTTCCTGGTTCTGTGCTCCTCATTCTCTTTATAATGTGTCCAATGTAAGTGAGCTATTTCTAGGACAGAACTGTGGATAATAGCAAAAACGAGTTACACAACCCATGTCTATCAATATATTTGCAGAGGCTGGTTAATTAAAAAAAAACTCCTTTCCAAGCTCAGTTAGTCTTCTCCCATGTTGGGAAATATACCATATTTGTTTCAACATGCCACACACATGAATAAAAGCCCTATATTATATTTAATAAAAATAATTGTCTAGTTAAATATTTTTATTCTGCTTCATTAGTGTTATCTGATAGGAGAGCTTTCCCCCCCTCACTTAGTACTTAACAGAGAAAAATTGGAAAAAGATGGAAGGAATCTAAAATATTATTCTGGTAAATTTCTGGCACATTTTCTGTATTACTAGACATTAAAGCTCTATGATCAGATATCCATTTAAATGACCATTTCATCCTGAACACTGAAATCTTTGGCTAATTTAAAGAGTAATAAAATCATCTAGTCAAGATCTTTAAGCTAGGAGGAATAAAAATTTATCATGTCTTCAACATTAGAGAGAAATCAATTATACATGCATCTAATTTTCTTTGGTAGGCAGAGTATGATGAATGATGAGGAAGAAAAACTGAAGTAAGCTGTGTTATGTATACTAGTTTGTCAGCAAGTGTTGCCTGACATTACTATGTTTGGACAAAAACAGTTTATATATTTTAACTAAAATCTATGTAGTTCCAGTGAAATGGATCAAGAAAGGAAATAAATGACTTCGATTCATGGTAGTATCATTAGTTAGTACAAAATTCTGACTCAGATGTTCTCCATTTTATATCTGTCTCTGTCCTAAAATGTAGGACTTGGGCACATTTATCTCCATGAAAATGTTTCAAGCATCGGGCCCTTGTACCCATGGTCAGGTTCTTATCCCTTTTTTATACTTGTAAAACTAATGGTACTTGGCCCTGGCTTGCTCAGGAAATAATGAAGAAGGAATAACATGTTCCTTTCCTTTCACCTTCCTTAGGTTTGAAATGTTACTAAATCATAAATAAATGTAGTTGTAATATGGGTGCTGTCACTTTAGATACTGAGTTGAAAAATAAAAGGTTAAATATAAATGTAGTATCTAAATGAAACTTTTGTCTGAGAAGTTTTCTTGTATTTTTATTCTCTAAATTTTTTATAATAGAAGTTTTTTCATTATAAATGGGAAATTAAATTATTTTAATCACCTAAAAACACAACTCTGTAAATAGTATCCAAATACCAACCTAAATAAATATTCTTTTTTTTTCAGATCAGTATTTAAGGACAACCAGGGAAATGTGGACAGAGACTCAAGATTTTCACCATTATATAGACAAGAAAGTAGCAAGATTTCAACCGAGGACCTACTTAAACTAGTGTCAGATTATAGAAGGTAGGATTTGGGCTATACTCTTGAAATTAACATAAATCAACATCATTGCCACCATTGATTTGTAATTTATGCATAAACAATACTTGATTACCTTATTCTCAATGTCCAAATTTCTCCAGAAAGCAGATGGTTTGCCCATGACTTCACATATGCCCAAATGACACCCTCAAGGCTATATTGGCCGAATTATATGGAATGAGTGTGGAACGTTAAACTATGTCGGTTATCTATTGCTGTGTAACAAGTCACCCCAAAACTTAGTGACTTACAATAACATCACTTATTTACTCCTGGTCCATAATTTGAGCATAGGTAGATGAGGGGCAGCAGCTGGGCGAGGTCAACTGAAGCTAGAGGATCTACTATTAAAGTGGCTCATTTAATAACTGCCAAGTTGCTATTGGCTGAGTACTCACTGGAGCTGTGGGCTGGAAACTGTGGCTCCTAATCATGGGACCTTCTCCATAGGCTACTATGGTTTTCTCATGGCAGGATTCTAAGAGTAAGTACCCCAAGGGTTAGCAATGATAACTGCCAGCTTCTTAAGACAGGGGCCAAGAAATGCAAAAGTGCCATCCTAGAGGAGGCCCTGGACCAATAGTACTTATTTATGATGATACTCCTTACATTGGGAGACACCCCCCCCCTTGACTTAATCAAACTTCCTGATTAAAACCCCTATCATGGCCTTCCCACAGCTACTAAGTAGAAATCAGGAGTGCTTTTTTCTCTTTACTTTCTTGCCAGAGTACTAAAGCATGAAAATTTGAAATGCTGAGAAGGAATGGTCAAAAGATTTGGGGGTAATCTGGTATAAACAGAAGGCATTACTCTAAAAAAATCATGTTATCAGCATATAGCAAAGAAAGTTTTCACTGTGGCAGCTAGAGTGCATCTAGAATACCCAATGCCATACTGGTGAAACATTAAATTATTTCATAGACACCTCATACCTATGGCAGTTATTCTCAGTATTGTGCTGATAAATGTTTACCAACTGACACTCTAGTGGGGGAAAACTGATTTGTACTGATAGCCAATTTCTATGGTGTAAATTCTCCTACCATTGCTAATTTCAAGCTACCCATGGGGCTTCACCAAATACAGAATTGGGAGGAAATGTGCACACCATTAATAACTTTTCCACCATACAATACACGTAAATAACCTCAAGATTCTGGATCATCTATCTTGTAGTAAAATAATTAGTAAATGATGAATTTTGAATATACTTATTACCTTGGACTTTAATACAATTTGTTTAATGGTAAGTTTACATAATTTCATCTTTAAAAACGGTTGTGTTTAACAATTGGCAGGCAAAATAACTGAAAATTTAACAATCAGCTCTCACAAGCTGGGAAGAGCTGGCTCTGACCTACCACTGTAATTATTCCACCTATCAAAGTCAATTTCCTGAAAGGGAGAGAGCACTTGAAGCTGTTATCGGGCTACTATGGCTTCCACTTTACTTTAAAGGAGGTTGGGCGAGAAGGTTTTAGTAGAGAGAGAGGGAAAGAAATGCAAGGACTCAAGAGTCAGGAACCAAGACTCAGAGTGAATGGAGAGCAGGGATAGGCAGGAAGGGAGTGTCTGCATGCATTTACAGGGTGGGAGAAGGCAGAAGAACCAAGATCAGGGAAAGGCTCTTTGTCCTTCTTGACTGTTGATGAAGAGGAGAAAAGCAGATTGTAACAAAGGCCAGTGCTGCTCTCAAGGCTTCTTAAGATTCCTTATGAAAATGGATTACTGAAACCAGTTCAAATACTAGTACTTTTTGGTACAGAAAACTGTATTTACTATTATACTTGTTTAGTCATTTATGTAAATGTTATCAGAAGTAGGTGCAAATAAATTTAAAACAATTTAGGATATCTGTAACTTGACCCCTCCCTGGTTTTTATTTGTAATGGCAATATCACATAAAATTTAGTTTTCAAAATCAAACCAGCTACATAAAGTCATTCACAAGATTGGATGGGGCCCTACTGTTTACCCTTAATCAAGGCTCAGGATTACAGTTGACTGTTCTTTTCTTGACAACTAGAATAATTCAGTGTATGTGTGTGTGTGTGTGTGTGCTTATATGCTTTCACAGGGCTGACAGAATAAGCAAAATGCAGACCATTCCTGGAAGCCTGGATATTGCTGTTGACAACATTCCTTTGGAGCATCCAAGTATGATGATGATGTCCTAGTTTGCTTGTAGAGTTTTTAATATTTAGTGTTATTTTGGTTAGTTGGTTAGGTGGTTGGTTACAAAGATTTGTTTGGTGAGGGTTTTTTCTCAAAGTTTGAGATAAATGGAATTTATTACCTTACAGAAATTTAGGGCTTCTTATTTCTTTATTAAGAAGATAAGTATAGCCCTAACCAGTTTGGATCAGTGGATAGAGCGTTGGCTTGCGAACTGAAGGGTCCCAGGTTCGATTCCGGTCAAGGGCATGTACCTTGGTTGCAGCTGAATCGATGTTTCTCTCTCATCGATGTTTCTAGCTCTCTATCCCTTTCCCTTCCTCTCTTTAAAAAAATCAATAAAATATATTTTTTTTTAAAAAAGAAGATAAGTATAGTAGGACAGTAACTATATTCAGGGTAACTTGATACTTATCTGGTGTGCATCATGCACAGAGCAAGGTATTAAATTATATAATTTAATCCTCAAACCCCTAAAGGGTTGCAAATGCAGAAAGTCAGATTCAGATAGAATGATAAACTAATAACCCATAATGAGAGAATCTATATTCATTCTATCTAGTTCCTCAGACTCAAAATACAGGGCTGGTTCTGCTGTCCTGTGCTGTCAGTTATTCTGAGCACCATGCAGAGCCCCCCAGTGGTCATACAGTGATTAGAGCTAACAGTGGTTCTCAACCTTCCTAATGCCGCGACCCTTTAATACAGTTCTTCATGATTGAACATAATTAAAGCATAGTGATTAATCACAAAAACAATATGTAATTATATATGTGTTTTCCAATGGTCTTAGGCGACCCCTGTGAAAGGGTCGTTCGACCCCCAAAGGGGTCGCAACCCACAGGTTGAGGACCACTGCAGACTGTAATTACACAGAGGAAAGCATTCATCTTTTTCAGAATATGGTCAAAGTTCTATTTATGTCAGTGAAATGAAAATTTGAATTTCAGAAGTGTATAGTAAAGAATTAACTTAAAAATAGCCCTAGCCAGTTTGGCTCAATGGATAGAGCATTGGCCTGCAGACTGGAGGGTCCCAGGCTCAATTCTGGTCAAGGGCACGTATGTACCTTGCAGGCTACTGGCCCTGGTCAAGGGCATGTGGGAGGCAACCAATCGATGTGTCTCTCTCACATTGTGTTTCTGTCTTCCCTCTTCCTTCCACTCTCCCTAAAAATTAATGGAATAAAAAATATCCTCAGGTGAGAATTAGAAGGAAGGGAGGGAGGGAGGGAGGGAGGGAGGGAGGGAGGGAGGAAGGAAGGAAGGAAGGAAGGAAGGAAGGAAGGAAGGAAGGAAGGAAGGAAGGAAGGAAGGAAACATATAAATAAGAGTTTCAAAATTTATTTCTTAAGTGGTGAGATCAGCTTATTTTATTTAGTTATTTCTGATTATGCCTGTTAGTGACTTTCTCAGTGATGCAAAGAATGAATCCAGACACCCTAAAATTAACTACAAGCAGGATGGGATGGGTGCCACAGGATGGCTGAAGCACCATTAGCATTGTGAAGTTTTTTATTTTTATAATTTTTCCACAAAACATCTTATTATGAAATAAAATGAGAATTCTAACTTACGCCATGTTCCAAATCACTTTTATATTGATTGGTATGAAAAAGAAGAGGACAAACTAAGTCATTTCCTCTCTCTGATGTGAAGGATGCGCCTTTTATTACCTATGGGAAAGAAAAGTAACAAAAGAGAGAGCTAAAATATTCTCTTTGTCAGGACTGTGGGACAGTAGAGAAACTCAAATAAATTATAGAAATTTTATAATTTATTTTTTTAAAAGACCTGTAATTTGATTCCCCAGCATATTTAGCTAATAATTTTGCTTTTTTGAACACAGGAAGATTCCAGATGGGATAAAGGAAGGTAGAAGGCCTTGCTATTTTTCAATACCACAACTTCAGCCTCCAAACTATTTTATCAGAGAAATTTTGATTTATAAATTCCTCATGGTCTTCTTTTTAGACTGTACTTACAAGGTTAGATTTTTAAAAGATTATAAAAACAAGAGAAAAATACAATAAATTATAGCTAATATTGCAGAGGGGTTTCAGGTCAGGTCTATGTTGTGAAATCACCCTGTAGGGGGAAAAATACTATTAATCCACTTGATACTATTAGTAATAGACACCCACTATAGGGCAATGGGTGAATCCCTAATACCTGGTGAGTGTGCTCAAAAGATCAGTAGCCAAATTTTACTTTTTATATCAAGTTCAATACAAAAATAATTATAAACCTATCTGACAGATTTACCAGTTTTTACAACATCAATTGTATTAAATATATAGTTTGATTGTCTAGCATGCCTAATTCCTACAAATTTTTCATGCTAGCATAATTTAACATATTGTCATAAAAGAATGGAGTTTCTATTTTGAGTAGATTAATTTTAAAATATGTTAAGTGTTATTCACTTAAAAAATCATATTAAATGACAAACTCTTATTTTCTGATTTTTAAAGACTGTGTAACATCGTCCTTTATCCCTGTCAAGCCTTTCAATGTGATGGCTCAACCAGAACCCACAGTGGAGGTGGAAGAGTTTGTTTACGACTCAACAAAGTATTGCCGTCCTTATAGAGTATACAAAAATCAAATGTATATTTATCCTAAGCACCTCAAGTATGACAGCCAGAAATGTTTCAACAAGGTAGGGTATGTTTCTGAAGTATCATCCTCTGTCTTCACTCTGTTTAGACCACATTAAGATGGTCTCCTGAAAGTTCAAATACAAATTACCATAGTTCATCACTTTGGAAAAGAAAATGATTTGAAGAAAATGCTTAATAAGGGGGCAATGATGACTTTCCTGTTAAAAGTGCTTAAGGATACACAGTTGTGTGACACATTAATAACCTTTCTAAATTAGCCCTAAATAATGTTGTCCTAGACTTTTTTCCGTTTCTTAAGATACTCTGCCATATCATGCCTGTCCCTTTTGGACATGAGTTTTTTTCTTCTCTCCAAATCCTTCTGCTATTTCTGAGCACTATGGATGTCACAAGAAAGTATTGAGTACTGTACATATTTTGCATTTAATTTGAAGCTACTTATTTTAGGCACTTGGATTGTTTTTTTTGGTGTTATATTATAGGCCATTATAATTTCCATTTCCCTCGCTGTAATTTCAGGCACGAAATATAACCGTGTGCATTGAATTCAAAAATTCAGATGAAGAAGGTGCCAAGCCCGTGAAGGTAGGCCAAGTCCACGGGGGACGCAACATTAAAGGGTGGGCAGGCACACGGTTCTCTCTGCCACCGGGGGGGCTTTTTATTCGAGTGTGGTTGAAAGAGGAGCAACACAACGCATTTGTCCTAAATGTACCTGATTGAATAGCCATCATTAACTAGAGCTAATGCCAGGCTGTGGCTCTGCTTAGCTTTTCATGATGGAGAAAAAGGGAAACCATTCTAGTGTGAAATAAACACAAAGGTTCCCCCTGGAAGACTGCAATTTTCAGAGAGTAGCCTGCCTCTGGATTTGGCATGCTTGATTTAAATGCCACCTCCCAGCTGGCCTGCGTGTGGCCTGTGCAGAGGGGTTGCTGCATACTGACCTACTAGCTAATGCACTGGGCCCATGGGATGCTCACATTTATGGAAGGTGCGTGAGGCCAGAGGAGCTGGGAAATGGCTCTAGGACTTCAATGGTCCCACTTGTTGGTCACGTGGTTTTATAAGAACAATAAAACTATGAGGTTTATATGAATTGTACTGTTTTAACCTATAAAGCTGCCACTGGGTGGCATTTTTCAGAGTTCATATTTGATATCAACTGTTTTTATTTTAGGGGCTTCAAACATAAAATAACCTATAAAAATAGGCAGGAAAATAGTTTCTAGTTGGCTGGTGGCCACATCTTCCCAGTTGCAGTGAGTCAGAGAAAGGACAAAACCAGTTGCTAACGAACCCCACAGTCGTCTGAGATCGCCTCTGAAAGCCCTCTGTTAGGTACCAATTGAGTTCTCTGCGTTAAGAAGGTCAGAAGAACAATAACCAGTTTGAGGGATTGAATGAGTCATGGTACAGAGAGACTTCTTTAAAATAGTCTCGAGCTGCTCTCCACATCCACAGGTTCCAAGTTCCACAACACATTAGCAGCAGGAGAGAAAAAAGGAAGTGAAATGGAGTAACCAAGCAAACAAAGGCAGTGACCAGATGGCAGACACGCCAGGCTGTTAGATCAGCGTTCATGCGGAAAATTCCAGGAAAGAAGGGTAGTAGCAGGGGTGGGGGCCCTGTTTCACTGCATTCTAAAGCATCGCACAGATACCTCAGACGTCAGAAGAAGCATCCTGAGCCTTGGGCAAAGGGAGCCTTTAAGCTGCATGAGTAGGAAGTGTCCTGTCACCTCCCCTGGCCTGATTAGGGGCTGGGATCGAATGGTAGTTTCATATGGCGGAGCCGGGAGCCAGCTCTGTCCTTCCTGCTCAGCATTCTTGGTTGGGGGCTGGCATGTCAAGGGCTAGGGTCCAACCACTCCTGTGGTCACCCAGCTGATTGCCTCAAACTCTAGGTCTGCGCTGGATACTCCCATAGGAATCAGAATGGGACAAATGCGATCTCATATCCTAGTTATCAAAGTTAGGTAATGGGCTGATTTGGGTGTTCAGTGTCAATGAGATACCTACACCATCAATTAAAGCCTTCACATTTTTCTTTAGCAGCAACCCATTGTATAATAAATTCAGGGCAGCAGGTCAAAGGAGTTCAAGGTCACTTAGATGTCACCTAGGCCAGCAAGTTATCACAAAATTTATCTTGGTCCCAGGATTTGTAACTGAAGAGTTGTGGCCTTTATTGTGCTCAGGGTCAATTTCAGATGCTCATAATTATTCAACTCATAACTTTTTAAACAGTGTATTTATGGAAAACCTGGAGGGCCCCTCTTCACCTCAGCCGCCTACACAGCAGTTCTGCACCATTCCCAGAATCCGGATTTCTCAGACGAGGTAAGGGCCAGGCCTCCACTGCCCCCAGCAGCTCCTGAAACGATGGGTGAGCGGGCCAGATAACACACAATATAAACACTCAGTCTAGCCCGCACCACAGACTGAAGACCTGCCTCGGCAGCTGTATTACTTAACCAAGATTTAGAAATTATGTTAATTGACAGATGCTCCAAACGTATGTTGCAAATTCCATTAGTTCAGTCCAGAATTGTCTTTTAAAAATGTGATGTTTTACTCTTATTTCTCTGGTCAATATAATAACGTTTGTATTAGATAGCTTTTACCAATGAATTCTATATCATAATGAAAAGAACAAATGAATACATACACTATGAGCCCACACTATTGCTTATAATCTGAGTGAACTTGAGTGACCTGGACCCCCCTCATCTCTAAACATGACATGGAATAAACCCTGCCCTGGCCAACTCTCAAGACTCTCTTATTACCTGTGTGAAAAGAGAAAAATTCATTATATTACATTGTTAATCATGGAAAATTTGAACTGTATATTGGCTTTTTAAAAACCAGGTTAGCATGCTGGTATATAAAGAATATTTAAGCTTGCAAACCATTACCATTCAGGACTTCGTAAACTTTATCATGCTTCAGAATCACCTGGAAGTTTGTTAAAATGCAGAAGATTGGAAGCCTCCCCAGATTTTTGGATTCCGTATGTCTGGAATGGGGCCTGAGAATTTGCATTTCTAACAAGTTTCCAGGTGACACTGATGCCACTGTTAGTTTGTTAGTTCCAGGGACAACACTTTGATAAGCAGGGTATTAAATTTTTCCTGAATAATGTGGAAATAAATTAGAGAGATAGATAGAAGATAGATAGATAGATGATAGATAGATAGATAGATAGATAGATAGATAGATAGATAGATAGACTAATAAATAAGCTGGTAGATAATTTGCATGTCTCTCTATCACATTATTGCTTGATTTTACTATTCTGGAAACTACTTAGTTGCTGATAAGGAATGGATGCAACTTGCCTGAGTGGGATCCTGAGATTCCAGTGTGAAGTGGTGATCAGAAGACGGGGATCCTTTCCCTGGAAGATCACATTACTAACAAGGCCATAATCTCAGTGACTCCAAGCCTGCAAATATATCTCATCTTCGTTTACCCTCTGTCATCCCACTCACAAGGCTATTGGGGGGGTGGCAGTTAAATGGAAATGTATTTGACAGATGTTTGGAAACTGCAAAGCTCTATAAAATGTAGAGGGTTTCAAAATACGTCTTTCCAGGAATATGGAGTTTGCTTCTCATTAAGAATATTCTTAACCTACATCAACTTTGTTTTATGTTTATCCAGAAGCATTATAACTATAGTGTGACCTCTTCGTAAAATGGTTTATTACTTAGTTATCACAATCTATATTTTTATACACTGTACTACATATATTTTTGTTATTGTCTAAAAGGAAGAAACTTCATACTTAAGTTACATCATGTATTACTACCATGTTTCTCAGCAATGTGCCTGTAATTGCCTGGGTATCTTATAAAAATTCAGATTCTAATTCCATAGGTCTGGGGTAGGGTCTAAGACTGTATGTCTAATGAGCTCCCAAGAGATGCTCATACAACTTGTTCCATGCACACCTGTTGGGAGACAAAGAATTCCTCTTCTCTCATTTTGTGTCCCTTCCCAATAGATCCTCAGGCTGTGCCTTGTTTACTTTCTACAGTTATGTCCATGTGTGTGCGTTTAATCCATATTATAACAGCATGAATTACCTAATGAGACATACTAGGTATTCTAAATTATCACAATCGACCACAATAGAGACGTGAAAATGTTAACATCTTAATACATTACTGCCAGCAGGATGGGTATTGAGTGAGAGTTAAATCAGTACTTCTGACACTAACAATTAAACATAGACCTAGATTTCAGTGAAAAGATTCTTTAAAGAATTTTGTCTTGCTCTGACGCCTGGCAAATTATTTTAATCTCGGTCCAACTATTATCTCTTTCGTTTCAGGTGAAAATTGAGCTGCCAACACAACTCCATGAGAAACACCATATTCTGTTTTCTTTTTATCATGTCACTTGTGACATAAATGCAAAAGCAAATGCCAAAAAGAAGGAGGCTCTGGAAACATCAGGTACTGACAGGAAGCAATCTGAGATAGCTTTACATCTCATTTGTTGGACTTGAATTGGAGAGTATTTTAAAAGCTCTGATTTATTCCATTTTTAGGGAAGTTTTATAATCATAAATAATAAATAACTGTATTGTTCCCCTTCCCCATGGAGGCTTGTACTCAAAAGTTTACTCTTTGTTGTTCCTCTGCACAGTTGGATATGCGTGGCTTCCTCTGATGAAACATGATCAGATAGCTTCTCAAGAGTACAATATCCCAATAGCTACAAGCCTGCCTCCTAATTATTTACGCTTTCAAGATTCTGCAAGTGGAAAGGTATTGAATGATGTATAATTTAAGAGAAAGAAATACATGAGCTAAATGGCATGAGGTTATCTTCTTTCTGCTATTTAAATTAACCCAACCATCTAGTTATACAACCATTATAATTATGAATCAAGTGCACCTACGATATTTCAAATATCTTGTTTACTTTATGGCCAATAGAAATAACCTATTAGCAATGATCCCTTGATACCACACTGTTCTCATTCACCAATATTGCCAGGTGCATTTGCATCTTTTAGTTTCTCTATATATAGATTAATGGATCAGGATGGCAAATGAACATACACTAAATAACCTATTTATCTGCTTTCTCTCAAATTGCCACAGTGACAGTAACAAACTCTTTTTTGCAGCAGGGCGGGAGTGACATGAAATGGGTTGATGGTGGGAAACCACTTTTCAAAGTCTCGACATTTGTTGTCTCAACAGTGAATACTCAGGTGAGAATGGTGTCTGAAATGTCAGTATCTTGTCCAACAGATAGAATCATAAGGTGCCTCCTATATTTAAAGGAGGAGACTCACCATTTACAGGGTGTCAGAAGACAGGTGATTGAAAAGGAAGAATGTTTGTGGCATAATTATATGCCTCTCCCAGGGGAAATAGAACGTCCTAATCCATAGAAGTCCAGGCACCAAAGTACCAGAGTGTATTTGTCAGGATGACACCTTCCTTGGAAGATGGTTTGCTTCCACTGATAACACCCAAGTGTTAAAAATGTGAAATGTTAAAAATAAAGACTTTGGATCTTTACCTGAAAACTAACTGTAACTCCCAATGCCCAGCCAAAGCTTTCCTAATGGGAAGGCCATGAGGTCAGCAGAACGGCCTCTGATAACTGCCTTGGCCAACTTCTGGCTCAGTAACCCTGGGCAAGTCACTTCACCCAGCATTCCCTGTTTCCTCATCAGGAAAAGGATAACAATGAAGTCTCTCTACCCAAGGGTGTGGTGATGATTAAAGTGAGAAATTACATGTGAAAGCATTTCATGAACTGCAAAATGTGATACAAATATAATTATGATCATTGTCACATTACCACAACGCACCCCTCCCATTGTGAGGCATATTTTACCCCAATGTGAGCATATTCCTGGCACCAATTATAAACTGCAAAGCAAATTATCACAAGTACCTAGAACACGTTTTTCTCTTTCCTTAAAGTCTCTGTATATCTGCTTTTTGATTTTTGTTTCATGCTGCTTTAAATTTAGTACATACATGGTTGCTAAGAAAAAAGAAATAAATTAGGACCACACATAGATAGGATCAAAACTTCTCTCAGTAATCTCAGGTGCCTCAAGCCAAATGTAATGGTCTTTCCCAAACCACAGATGGCCTTCTAGAATTGACAAATACCAGAGAAAGACCCAGAGAGTGTATCTGACCCCTCAGCACAGAATTTAGAGAATTTCCAAAATGCCACTCTCTTTAGTAAATACCATTAAAGGGTGTATCAATATGCAGGGGCTGGCATAACAAAATACCACAGACGGGGTAGCTTAAACAACAGACATTTATTTCTCACAGTTCTGGAAGCTGGAAGTCCGAGATCAAGGCATCAGCAGAGTTGGTTCCTTCTGAGGCCCCTCTCCTTGGCCTTCTCGCTGTGTCCCCACGTAGTTGTTCCTCTGTGTGTGCACATGTCTGGTGTCCAAACTTATGCTTTTATAAGGACATCAGTTATATTAGACTAGGGCCACTCTAACTGCCTCACTTTAACTTAATTACCTCCAAACACAGTCATAGCCTGTGGTGCTGAGAGTTAGGACAACAACCTATGGATTTGGGGGAACACAAAGGGTAAGAGTCATGTTATATCATGATGTTATGTGAACTTCCTAGTTTTTTATTAGCTCTGGCAGTTAAGTCTGAAAAGATCCCTATGCATTCCTTGTGTGTGTTAAGGAATATGTAAGAAAAATTGATAGAAGTCTGTGGAAGAAACGGGAGCAAGAATATGAAAGAAGGCAATTTAAAAAACAAAAAGGAAGAAAGCCAAGGAAAGTAATTCTCCAGCCATTACCATATAGCCGAGAAGGAAAAGAAGTCTATGAGCATGAAATAGGGAAGAGAGTTGGCTTCGTAGTTTATTTCAACTCTAGCCCTCGGTGAGAAGCGAAAATGAAAGCTGTCATTGACGCTTTCATAAAGCACTTGCACATGGAGGCATCAATCCTACAGAAAGGCTGCCTGCCATCACCGTGATTGTTACACAGTTTACATGTCCTCAGAAATAAACACTTTTATTTTTGCTGTTTCAGGATCCATATGTGAATGCATTTTTCCGAGAGTGCCAAAAAAGGGAGAAAGATATGTCTCAGTCACCTACCTCAAATTTTGTCCGCTCTTGTAAGGTAATGTGACATTGCAAATCATTTCAGTGGTGTTTGGGGGAGAAATGGGCTAAAGGGACCTTTGTAATTTTCATTGACTCATAAAGTAGGAGGTAATTATCATTGAAGATTTTTAAATGCCTTATCAATGAAGAGAGTCAATTATTTCATTTCACAATTCCTTAATAGTTTCTGTCCATCTACACTAATAAAAGAGAAACATGGTAATTAGCGTACGACCGCTACCCTTCCCATTGGCTAATCAGCATATCCTTATGCAAATTAACTGTCAGCCAAGATGGCGGCTGGCAGCCATGCACTGAAGCGATCAGTGAGGCTTGCTTGCTCCAGTGACTGCGGACTCCAACGTTCCCCACCTGCCGCTGCCGGCCTCTCAGCTGCAACTCTAAGCAACTATGTACTATGTTGCAAATAAGAAGCTAAACAAAACCCCAGAAACCGGCTTTCATTCAGCCGGGCTTCAGCCAGCCGGACCGCAACATTGTATCGATGTTTTCAGCAGCGAGGCCTCAGAGCTAAAGCTGGCCCAGAATAAAAAAAAAAAAAGAAGAAAAGGAGCGGTTGGGAGCTTCAGTCACCCGCTTCCGGAAAACAGCCCTCAGCCCCTCAACCAGACTGGCCAGGCACCCCAGTGGGGACCCCCACCCTGATCCAGGACACCCTTCAGGGCAAACCAGCCAGCCCGTACCCATGCACCAGGCCTCTATCCTATATAGTAAAAGGGTAATATGCCTCCCGGCACCGGGATCAGCAGAGCAGTGAGGCTCCCGGCACCGGGATCAGCGTGACAGGGGGCAGCGCCCAAACCCCCTGATCATCCCTGCTCTGTGCCTGATAGGGGGAGCTCCCCATCCCTGATTGCCTGCGGCTCTGTGTGTGACAGGGGGGATCTCCCCAACCCCTGATCGCCC